AAAAAAATTAAGTAGATCAAATAATATATTTATATGTTATTTTCATATTTAAACATTATGTGATACTATCTAGAAAAGTATACTTGAACAAAAAAGTTAAACAAAGGGCATCATGAGGTCTGGACTATTGTATGGCCTGTAATCCTATTGTATACCACATGGTTGGTATTTATTGAAAATGAGCAAGTGGATGCAATCTTTGATAGCACAATATAGCAACGAATTATATACCAAGGTTTTCTCAGAGAAGTCCCCATTGACAGCTAAAGAAACATTAATTCTCATTTTGTTTTTAATTTTAGTTGTCACTAACAATGCCTCCACCTTCTGGCTTAGTATCTCAATATTAACTTACAAGCATGAAACAAGAACTTGATCGGGGAATGTTCAGGGATTTCCTTTCTAACAGCTGAGATACTGAAGGTGAAGTAAAAGCAAGCAGTCGATCGTGTGGACAATAATTAGGTTCAGACAAATGCTGTAGAACTGCAATGCTGGCTAAATTTGTTCATATCCGGTGTCTCATCTCAATTAAAGAAAAAAATTACACAAGAATTTATAAAGGCCAACAGTTCCAAAAGAAGAGTCTAGACTGTGGCTGTCTTGTTAGCCCTGTTAATACCTTCAAAGATAACAAGTGACTTCTTCCAAAAAATGTGAATTATCTTGTGTTTTGCTTCTTCATTTTTGTTTTTATGTCTTAACTATTACTTGCCTCTACCAGAAAGTCATACTGGAGGGATACATGTGACCCCAGAAATACAGAATTCCTTTTCTGAATACCATGAATTATTACAAGTTGTAGAAGGGTTATTTATTGTTCATTTATAAAAAGCTATGAAGAATAAACAAAAGACAATAGACTCCGAATTGTGAAGCAAAATTAGGCCTAAATTAGGCCTAACTTTCAGTTGGGTGACTTTAGATGCCCCCACTGCTTCTATTTCCGCGTCTGGGAAATAGATCCAATATTACTTCTACATGTCTCCCAATGTGCCTGTAAGAGTCAATTCATCTTTTTTAATATTTAAAGTTAGAACTTCTAAAGGGAAATCTATTATCCTTTAAGCAGTGGAAATCTGTCACTTTGTACTCTCCAGCCTATAATTGATGGACTACTCAGATCTTTGATGATAAAGATGAGAATATCTGATTTCTAGACCAGTGATTTTTTTCAAAGACCAACAGATCAGCCGTAGTTGGAATGCAATACATGAACCCCACCCTATTCTTTCTGAATTAGGCTATCTGGGCATGAGGTCCATCCAGAATATATATATTAAAGAACCTCTGTCAGTGATTCCAGTTGTCCTGTGAGTCTGAAAAGCCTTGGTCTAGACTGCCTATTGGCAGAGAACATAGAATTGGAGCCAGAACTATATCCCTGAGTCACTGAATTCTAAATCAAGCTTCCACTTTAAACTACACAATTATAAATAATTCGGTTATCTCAACCACAGTTTGACTTTCGTTTTGCCTCTTTGGTTTCATAATGTGTTGTTATTAAGGAGTGACAGAGAGAAAATATGGATATGATGTTTATTTATAATTTCCATGTGTATAATCTGTATGATTTCTGAAATAAAAGGAAAATTTGTATTTTCTTATCTTTATAATCCTCAACTGTAACTTTCTAGATTTAGTGCATTGTTATTTCAAAATCACAGGTCCTATCAGCTAAGGTTGTATTTGACAGAAGATTAAACTAAGGCAAGGTGAGACATGTGTTTAAAACCTTTAGGAGAAGATTCTAAACCATTGGATTATATGGCGTACCTATCTTTAAAATTAAAAAAAAAAATCTAAATCAGATAATCCTATATGAACAGATTTATGTTTATCTCAGAAAGCAGGTGGAAATAACTAAAATGCTGTTCTATCTTTTTATTCAGAAGCCTCAAAATAGAATAGGCTGGGGGAAAAAATAAGAGTTCCATTTCCTGTTGAGCCACTTGTCTACTAAATTTAGTCTAAAAGTGCCCAAACTTCAGAACTACCTTTATTAGTGGCTTTAAGTTGACAGGAAGCCCAGGGCATTAAGGACTTCTATTCAAAGAGAATCTAGAATCCTGGGCCCATCGTCTCGGCTTGCTATAACAATTCTTTCTTTGCCTTTCGGATATAAAATGTGTGCTATTGTGTTCTACTTATATCTTACTATGTAAAACATTAAGAAACACTGCAATCAGGGGAAAAGAACATATACTGGTTTCCTTCCTTCGTTAAGGGTTGAGTTCATAAGATTTATTATTTTTTTACAATTAAAAATGAGATATTGAAAAGCCTATAATGTTTTCCTACCTTAAGACTCCAGGACCCCAAATTCTATTTTTCTTAGTTCCTCCAACTTTGTTAATATATTGTCTCTGTCATTGCAAGACACTCCTTCTCATTACATCTCTTTGACTCTAACTAGTTGTGAGTCACATACTCATTGCTCACACAGTCACTGCAGCCATGAAGTGCAGTTGTTTTACTGAACAATCCATGTCACGAAATTTCCCCCAGAACTGGGAAATGTGAATCCTAACTGATTGAATTAAGAATATAGGAGAGGGCCAGCGCCGTGGCTCACTTGGTTAATCCTCCACCTGCAACGCCAGCATCCTATATGGGCGCCAGGTTCTAGTCCTGCTTGCTCCTCTTCCAGTCCAGCTCTCTGCTGTGGCCCGGGAGGGCAGTGGAGGATGGCCCAAGTGCTTGGGCCCCTGCACCCACATGGGAGACCAGGAAGATGCACCTGGCTCCTGGCTTCAGATAGGCAGCTCGCCAGCCATGACAGCCATTTGGGGAGTGAACCAATGGAAGGAAGACCTTTCTCTCTGTCTCTCTCTCTCACTGTCTATAACTCTACCTGTCAAATAAATAAATTTAAAAAAATATAGGAGGGGCTAGTGTTGTGGCACAGCAGGTTAAACTGCAGCCTGCAATGGCTTCATTTAATATGGATGTCAGATTATGTCCTGGCTGCTCCACTTCCTATCCAGCTCGCTTCTAATACACCTCACAAAGCAGCAAAAGATGGTCCAAATACTTGGGTCCCTCCATCATTCAAGTGACCCAATTGGAGCTCCAGGCTCCTGGCTTTGGCCTGGTCCATTCCTGTCCATTGTGTCCATTTTGGGGAGTGAACCTGCAGATGAAAGATCTCTATCTCTCTCTCTGTATCTCTGCCTTTAAAAAAATAAAATAAATCTTTAAACAAAGGAATAGAGGAAAATCAGAGTGACATCAGCAGGAAAAAAAAATAGAGAAGAAATTAATGCTAGATCCAAATAAGAGTGTATTAAATCCTATAGTTCTAAACAGTGACCCTCCATCCAGATCCTACCTTTACTCCCATTCTCTGACATAAGAGTCATATATTCATGCCTCAGAGTGCTCCCAAATGAATAAACTTCCTCAAGTACAAACTGTACCTGCCAGTTTCAGGGCTATGGCCACAGGAATTCAGGGATTATGTCAGAGAGTTCTTTGGACTTCCTTAACTACAATGTGCACTGGAGAACTCCTGTTCTCAAGAAGTGGTCATTATTACCATTGGGTAAATATAGCTACAATTTTCTTTCTTATCTGGACCTTGTATCTGCTCCTTTATTATTTACACATTAGTGCTAATTTTTCCCCTGGCATCATTAAAATCATGTCCATAATGTATTCTGCATAGTAGACCTTCACATGTCTAAAGACAGGTTTACTCAACTGCTGTGTTATGACATGATCTACAGAAATTCGACACCCAGCTCTCTTTTTATTAATTTGTGCTCCCTCTGCTCCAACTGTTACACTGTTTTCTTCTCTTGGACTTTATGTTTATTGAGTCTTAGATTGTTAGACTTTTTGTTATTGTTGCCTATGGTTTGGGGATGGCTTGTCCTCCAAAGTTTCATGTGATGGAAGCTTGAGTAGTGGGTATTGAAATGTGGTGGGGCCTAATGGGAGATGATTGACTCATGACTGCCCTTTGAAGGGAAAAGTGTTGGTCTTGTGAAGACTCAAAAAATAGATTAGTTCTCGGCTGCCACTGTGGCGCAGTGAGTTGAACCCAGACCTGCAGAGGCAGCATCCCATATGGGAGTCAGTTTGAAACCCAGCTGCTCCACTTTCAATCCAGCTCTCTGTTATGGCATGAAAAAGCAGTAGAAGACGGCCCAAGTCCTTGGGCTCCAGCACCCAAGTGGGAGACCTGGAAGAAGCTCCTGGTTCCTAGTTTTGGATCAGCTCAACTCTGGCTGCGGTAGTCATTTGGGGAGTGAATTAGCAGATGAGAGACCAACATCTCTCTCTGGCTCTACCTCTCCCTGTAATTCTGTCTTTCAAATAAATAAAACAAATCTTTAAAAAAAATAGACTAGTTCTCAAAAAATGAGGTTGTTACCAAAGAGCCAGGTTGGCTCCTGCCCACTCTTGCTCCATTGTTTGTATACATGTCATTTCAGTTTCCTGTCAGGTGCAGTTGGTTTTTTGTCACATCTACCTTATATTGTGATGCAGCCAGAATGCTATTTGGACTTTCCAGCTACCAGAATTGTGAGCCAACAAATCTCTTTTCTATATACATTACCCAGAGTTAGGCATTTTGTTATAGTAACACAAAATGGAATAACACACTATTTTTATTTTGCTCATGGTTTTTCATGTTGTTTAGTCTTAGTAAGTTAATGGAATAAAAATTTAACCAACATTAAGATATTTTATCTCTTTTTGTCATTACTTATCACCCATTGATTTAATATATTATTAGAGAACTACAGAAACATCAGTTTCAGCTATGAATCAATAACATTCTGAATTCCTGAATATTTTTCTCTCTTATGTATCAGATTGTTTTGCTTCAAAACAAACAAGCAAGCAATTTGAATTGTACAGAGAATGCATACTTTATAATCTTGTAGTCTACAAAAATTTTATTTATTGCTCCAAGTACTTGGATTCCTGTTTGTATGCCATGGGAACCAAATTTCTGCCCTAATGTTTTGGCACATCTTCAGTATACTTACCTCTGTAGGAATGGTGTGTATCCACAATTATGTTATTTGAAAAGAATCTTTGTACTGGAAAATCCCATTGAGATGTAGCATCGCGTTTCCAAGGGTGCCTTGGGACAAGAAAGAATGGGGCAGTAATATACAACTACTTGGTTACATCATTCATACCACAGAAATTATCATCCTACTGTTGACGGGGAACACTTGTACTTCTCTATTATCAAAGATTTCTCAGAACTGCTCAGCCCCCTCTATTCATTTCATTCCAGCTGTTCTAACACAGGGAATGAAACAGATTGTTTCATTCTCTGAGCATACATTAGCAAGGACAATGCCATCATTTGGGGGGCTTTTGAAGGGGGTTTTGCTCAATGTGGACTGTGTGTGGAGCAAGCTCACTGCCTTGTAACAAAAGCATAAAATTCTGTGGTGACAGGCAAGTCAAAGGCTAAAGAATTTGTTAAAAGGAAGAAGCCCTAAATGTCCAGCATAAACAACAAGACATGAGAAAGGAAGCAGGGAAAAGGTAAAGGAGACCGTGAGAAGGAATGTGCACTGGCCCAGCACTCTGTCCTTTTAAAATCCTTTGGGAAAACTCACTCATAGGCCTCCAAAAGCTTTTTCCTGAACTTGTTCTACATCAAAGAGCCACAAGCTTGTACTTATGTGAGCTTGTGATTTGTTCCTTTTAAGTGTTTGTGGATTTGAGCTTTTTGACACAAAAATGTTGAAGTTGTTTTGCATTGAGTATCTGATCCTTTTTTGTCATGCTATCTTGAAGCATAAGCCAAGCCCCTCTCCTCGGGAAGCTGTTCTTTCTTCATATGTTGTTCCTTCCTCATCATACTGTCTATATTCCACAAATGTTCAGCAGCCTTTCTTATTCTCTTCCTTCCTTTTCACTTTCTACTCCCATTCTTCTTGAATGTCAAATACACAAAAACATACTACGGCTCCCTGTTTTCACACCAATGGCAGACACAGAAAATTAATCATGGAAATCTTATGATATATGAATCATTTTCAGTATATGTTTCAGGAAGCCATGAACAGAATAGAAATGCAATATGAGATCAAATCTATGTTTGCATCCTGGATCAGGAATTAAGGAATCTAGAAGTTTCCCAAATACTCCTTTAATATAAATTTATGGAAAAACATATTTCTATGCATGATCTAAAAGTGATAGGAAAATGTATTCTCAATTCCATATTTTTATAGATGATACTATTTTTAGAAGATAATATTTTAATTGATGTTTTATCTTTTATTTTAATCAATGATAATATTCCAATTTGGTACATCTTTTACTCCTTAAATATGAATGGATTTAATCCTTGAAGATTGCAACTGACTTTTAAAAGTTGTAAATCTCAGGCAAATGAAAAAGTATCATATTCTGCTGTAAACAGTAGAAGACATTGTTGTGTACTCACCACACTGGCCATGTCTTGCCCTTATTCACAACCTGTCCTCAGGACAGGCAATACTGATACCTGTTTGTGTGTGGGGGGGGGGGAGGTGTCACTGATTTTATCTTTCTGAGAGTGAGATATTTGACAGTAGCTGCTACTTATATCTAGAAAGCTCTTTGGAGTGGCCTGTCTACCAGATGACACTTCTCTTTCTACCCTCCCACTATCCTGGCAGGATCTGTGCTCTTCTTTAATCTAATTTCATATTGACAAAGTAATCACAGAGTCTCACACATTGGCCAGTTTGGTTCATCATTAAAGGACTACATAAGGCATTCATTTGTCTCTGAAATTGCTAATCAGGTTATATGCATCTGTGTATTCTCTCTTCTACATGCATCTTAGAAATCATACAGTACAGGTGAGAGGCTGAATTTAACAATCCTGATCTTTGCCACATGGTAGAAATATATATATGACAATTACAAGTCCAGTTAATTTTTTGCAAGAATGCGTGGAGGGCATGGGATGGAATGATTTTAGTATCTTAATTCTGGCTATAAACTAAGTAACAGGAAGTATACTGAGGCAATTCATTACTTAAAGAGGTCACTCAACCTGAAAATAGGTATCTAGGAAAGGCTTTTGGTTTGGTCACTTGTGTGTCACAATAATAGTTACAGTATTGTTGTGCTATATCTGCTCTCCCTGATAGGTTAGGTCTCTAACCTAAAGACCCAAGAGCCAGCCTTCATAGAGCTTTTTTGTAAATTAAGCTAGATTAGTAATTTTCCTATTGTTTTTTGTCCAAGAAAATAACCTCCTCAGTTTCTGGCTCATGCCTTACACACACACACACACACACACACACACATTATTTCACAGAAATAAAAAATTAGTCCAAAACCCAGCCCAAAATTTCTTTAAATGGTTTTTGACTCATTTATTATTTGATTTATGGTATCTTTCTGAATTGTTACTCACTGACCTGATATTTAAATTTATACCTTGGGGCCAGTGCTGTGGCATAGTGGGTAAAGCCACTGCCTGCAGTGCTGGCATCCCATATGGGCATCGGTTCAAGTCCTGGCTGCTTGACTTCCGATCCAGCTCTCTGCTATGGCCTGGGAAAGCAATGGAAGATGGCCCAGGTTCTCCAGCCTCTGCACTCACGTGGGAGACCCAGAGGAGACACCTGGCTGCTGGCTTCGGATAGGCACAGCACTAGCCATTGCCATCTGGGGAGTGAACCAGCGGATGAAAGACCTCTCTGCCTCTGCCTCTCTGTAACTTGGCCTTTCAAATAAATAAATAAATCATAAAAAACCTCTAAAGTTATACCTTTACATTGGCCTTGGGCTCCTCAAAGTCCTTTTCCTTTAATCTTCCATCTTTCCAAAGCAACCACAAACACATTACTAATTTTGTTGCATTTTGTTTACAGCACTGTGAGTTTATGATGCACGGGGAAAGGAGATATTGTGTGCAACCAAACATGTTTAAATTGCTCTTTGGACATTTCTCTCCTTATACGGCATGATGTCCACTCTATGCCTGGATTTCCTGCTATGACCCTAAGCAAGTAGGTGAGAAAGTATCAGGATAGACTTGTGGGAAGGAATGAGTTTTATGCTATTGACTGGCAGAGGAACCAGTAGTTAAAAATATATATGATCCTTCAAAAAACCGTGACCCTTACATTTCTATTTGAATCAGTGACGTTTGAGGAGCTACAAAGCAGGTCCTTCTTTCCTTTCTCCTGAAATCTCTAATGCGTTTCCACTTCAGTCTCAACCAGTGCTTTCCAAAGTAGACAAGCAAGGCAGACTGAAGAGTTGTGTGAAGAAAATAGAAATCCTTTTAGCTTTCTTTTATTCTTTAAATTTTGTCTGGATTTAATTAATTGTACATTCCTGAAAGTTATTTAAAAACACATAAATAAATATTCATTGTAAGGGTGTTATTCCAGTTGTTTTATGGTTTCAAATAGTTTGAAGTCTTTGTAACTGAATAGCTTTCTGAAAACATACTTTTGGGGAATTTGTCCAGGAAAGTGACAGCTCTGTCACCCACCTTACTGAAACCTCCAGCCCCCACTCACACACATACAGGGGTATCATTGGTCTGGGGCAAGGGGAATTTTGAGGGCTTTTTTTTTTTCCCCATTTGATCTACTTGGCAGGTAGTACTAACATTTCTCTCTCCTTTTTGTGATCTGTCTCTTCCTTCTACCATCCCTCTTTCAAATCCTCTTTGTTCAAGGAGCTGAGCAGAACAAAAATGTACTATGTTCCTTTACCATCATGATTGTGTAGCTAAATATTGTGTCCCCCTCCTCTCTCTCCCTCTCTTCGTCTCTCTCTCTTGCTTCCTCAGAAATTAAAGTATTTTTACAGTATGTTTCTAATCTGTGATACTAATGGAAACAATGAAAGCATCCTACCTAGACCCAGCTCTTGAGGATGTGAGATACTTCTCAAATGCTACCTAACAGGGAAATTCTCGTGCACGAATTGAATTCCCTGCTAGTTCCAAACCAGATGAGCTGAGTTCTATTTTGTTTTTAAAGGGACTTATTTTTATTTATTTGAAAGGCAGAGAAAGAAAAAGAAAGGTAGAAAGAGAGAGAGAGAGAGAGAAAGAGAGAGAGAGAGGGCTGGCTTACTCCTCTGACAGCCACTATGGCTGGAGTAAGCAAAGCTGAAATCAGGATCAGGGAACTCTATCTAGGTTGCCCATATGAATGATAGGGACCCAAGTACTCGTGCCATCCTCTACTGCTTTCCAGGGAGCATTGGCAGGGAGCTGGGTGGGAAGTGGAGCAGCCCCGACCTGAAGCAATACTCATATGGGATGCCAATGTCACAGACAGGAAATTAACATGCTCTGCCACAATGCTGGCCCCTGAGCTGAATTTTAAACTTAATGTTCCTATAATTTACACAGTCCTTTCTTTTTCTGTATTTCTCTTTTGAACATTGTGAAAGATCAAAGACAAGAATCATAAGCTTTTCTTTATTCTTGTATTTTTCTATCCAACATAATGTGCATACTATCTTAAATTAATAGTCATTCAATAGATCTTTGTGGGGGCCAGTGCTGTGGCATAACTGGTAATATAGACACTAGATCAAATTCTAAATGCTAATTTTCCAAATGATAATATGGTCATGTTATAAGTACTGAAAATATATGTTTGAAAATGAAGAGAAATATTAAATATTTGAAATTATATGTATTACTGCTTTGTGACAAAATCTAGGTATTGAAAATTTGCAAGTCATAATAGAATGTATAATTTGTATAGACCATATAATTTATAAAGTATTTTCAAAGATATAAACTTAATTCTGTTGGACAACAATCTTGCAAGTTATGAGTAATTATTTACATTTTACAAGTAAAGAAAACATTTTAGAGAGATTGAGTAATGAGTAATGAAGTTCACACTGACACCCAGAACTGTTTAAATCTTGATATTTCCCATCCCAACCAATATCTTTTGCTGGTGTTTTAATTTTGTGATATCCCCACTACTCTCTCAAGTACAAAGCAGTACACTGAACAAGCAATAACCCAGGGAGAGCTGACATTGTATTTGAGTACCTGGGTTCTAGATATGTGCTCTTACAAATTAACCTGGCCAACTATAGCAAGAGTGTTAACTTCTCTGTGCATCATTGTATGTAAGTGAGAAGGGTGAAATCTGCTTATTTTTATTATACAATTTTGTAGAAATCAAATTTCATAAAATATTTGTAAGTTAAGCTATTTATTGATATTCCCCTCATTACAAAAAGCATCTAAGTGAATTTTTGATGTAGAAAATAGTCTAGAAACTTACAAAGTATGTTAGATATTTAAGGTCTGATGATTAGACTGAATGTGCATATAACTTGGTTTAGCAGTCTGAGAATTGACTACAAAGATAGATTAGATTAATCATGAATATTTGAGCTGATTACATCAAGTGAGAAAATAAAGACGATGGAATTACCTTGATAGTGATATAATCTATTCACTGGAGCTAGTAGAGTGAAGAAGGAAACACAACAAATGGTTCCATCTTCTGAAATCAGAACACAGTTCTGTTACAAGGAAAGCAACATCAGCAGTGCAGCTGTTTCCCAAAGGGAGGAAAACGTTGACTCAACCTTTCTCCTACCGACGTCCTTTCTCATTCCTTTCCAATGCTGTCCAAAACATTTTGAAATATCTGTCTTCTGAATTTCATATTTATTCAGTCCGCTCATGTGTTTTTGTGCATTCACTTCATGCAATATAAATGTAAACGCTTTCTCCTCATGATCTGACTAGCTCAGGAGTGAATTCACAGATGATTTCTAGAACCCATCTCTCACCAGTTACATTCACTTCCATTTATTCAACTGAAACACAGTATACCAGGGCCAAAAGCTACCTTAAGACAACATTGAGTCCCCAGCCCCTCATTTCACAGATGAGGAAGAAAGGAACCTGGACTAGCGGTTAAGAGCGCATAGCTAGTTGGTGACAAAGCTTGTCCTGGAACTAAGGCATCTATCATTGCTCTGACAGCCTCTCCTTCACCACACCATACTCCTCCCCATGGAGTCTCCATCTTTTGCTAGGACGCCCAGGAACATGTTACAGCCAAATCAAAGGCCCTTGCTGAGAGGCAGACAGTAAAGAAAAAACTGTGGAAGGTACAGAAAAAAATTAGGTAGAGCCAAAGTGCTTTGGGATGCTGGGTCTGTTTTTACTTAATATTGACCTGAGGTGTGTGGTTTTAGCTCTATGATCCCCAGTTTCCTCTTTTATGAAATATGAAGCAAAAATACCTCCTCAGCTCACAACATAGTAGATAAGCAATGCATCTATACTCTCTGTTCCCTAATTATCACACTGTTACCTCTTTCTGCAGTTAGAACTTCTGCTAACCATTCTCTCTGTCCCTGTGTCTGACTGGGGGTATTTCTCTCTCCTGTGTTCCTTTTTAACCTCCTGTGATGATTTTTCTTTTCCCTTCTGTCCTTACTGTTTCATCATGTGTGATAGTGAGATCGCTTTCTCTTTCTCCTCTACATCTTCTTTCCCAGACTTTTTCACAGCATCCACATTGAGCAGGGATTGCTTACAATGAAAGGGCGTTGCCAGCAATACTGATTAATGACAAAACTTATTCTCAAAGAAAAAAGTACATTTTCGTGAAAATTAAAAGAAAAATAAGAAAGGAAGCAAGAGGAAGGGTAGGAGGGAAGATGGGGTGGGAAGTGTCATTATGTACTTACAACTACATAGGGGATACATGAAATTTGTTGCATGTATACAAATAAAAAATTTAAATAAAAAAAGAAAGGGTATTGCCAGTGATATCACTCTCCCTTCCACATTATCTTCTTCTGTGGTCTGAGGATCCTTTAAACCATGCTTTACATATGCTTTTAGTAACTAACAGCCTTTAACTAGGCATTTAGAAAACCAATACAGCCATTTTCCCAACCTGGTTTATAAATATTCCAACAGGGTGAATATTAAACATTAGAGTTTTCATTCAATACCTGCTTCATCCATGGTATTTTTAATTTCAGAAAATCTTTATTATACACCTGGTGCCTCAGGGAGATATGTGACACTTGTCTGAGTTCCACTTTGACCTTCCACCAGTGTTGAAACAGCAAGTTGGAAAGAACAAGTAGGAATAAAGGATATTCTTAAGATAGTCAGAGAGTCATTCACTTGAAAATTTCTCTACTATTTTGCAACTCTGAGAAGTCGCCAACAACATTGCAAGATTTGGCTTGTGTATACCTGGAGAATGTGAGACTTAAATATTTCATGTTGACACTCTGGATTCACTTCCCCGAGGGTGGGAAAGGAAGGCTAAACTGCATGTGTTAAATATATTGCTAAATGACAACTCAGCATTTGAAACAAGGGCTTCCTGGTGGCATTAGTCTTTCAATATTTACTCCCTATCTTTTCACCCAAAATGAGTTTATTTAGCTGTTCATGTATTGGAACAAAGTACTGTTCAGGGTCAGTTTTAGCCCCAGGTAGAGAAGCAGATGTTTATTGGGTATTATTTAAAGAAGTTCAAAAGCCTCCTACAGAAAATGCTTTTTCTAACAGCCTTACTGAAATTCCCATATTAGTCACTTCCTTGGAATGAAGCCGTGAGAAAAAAAAAAAAAAAAAAACTCTGATAAATATACAAGCTATCTAAAAGTTGTAGCACATAAAGCCTCTTTCACTTAGTGATCAAATTAGATAACCAGTTATTTAAAAGAACTAAAAAGGGGGAAAATGTGATAGGAAAGGGGAAGAAAGCAAAGCATGGAACATGTTAAAGCTTGGAAAGGCAGCACAGCCTGAACAGCAGAAGGAATTGATAAAAAGAGATGTCACTAGGGAAACCCCTCACCATCTAAACCGATCATTCAGCAAAGCACAGTACTGGATACCCTTGCATACACCCATCCATCCTGCCACACATTCATATCTCCATCATGCATCCATACATTTAACAAGTGTTGATTAACTATAGAAAGCACTGCAATGATATAGAAATGAAGAGATCTTGAGTCTTATTCTTAAAAAAAAAATTACAAAGGAATGAAAACCAGTTATAAAACTTCAAGTTCAGAGCCTTGAGTCCTGTAGTAGAAATCAGCTCGTGTCATGATGTATAATAGAAAGAACTGGTATTTATTGCAATGTGATGAAACATGATTCTATAAGCATATTTTATTTATTTGACGACTCAAAAACTCTCTGAGGTAGGCACTGTATGTATTATCAGTCCATTTCACAGATGAGAAAATAGTGATATACATTACATGACTTGCCCAAAGTCCAACAGATAACATTAGGATGGGTTAGAATGTGAGCCTAATTTACCCAGCTCTAAAACTCATTTCCTTAACTCTCAAGTATTTTCTCTCAAGAATCCACAGGAGTTACAGATGACTTATGGGAAAGATCATGCACACTCTAATAGTCTCAATTTAATGTTCAGCTAATCGGGAAGAAATAGAATTCATCAGCTGAAATTGGTAGAAGTACTGGGCTATAATAGCCATTGCTTCAGCATAAGCAATATTACTGGTTGAGAGTGCAGTGACTCTTTGTGAGCTGCATCCTTAGAAATTAAAAAAAGATCAGTAGGACATCTTTGAATGATTCTGATTTGGTCACTTTCATTGTGAGTAGAGACAGGTACTATGCCTTTCTTAGTGTCACAAAGCAAATTGATAATGCAAGAGAACAGGGAAGCAGGCAGAGGTCTGTGGGCAAGACAGATTTTGTCAGGATATAGGGCGGAGACCTAGGGGGCTGTAGCATCTAATTTAATACTCTTATAAGCCACAAACATGTCTGAATGACCAAGAGCCAGCCATGACCACAAATAACCAGGATAGGTTCAGAGTCAGCAGGAAGAGCTGGGAAGAAGTCCAGGCCGATAATGAAAGGGGGCATTAAGGTACACATTAAGTCCTCCAAATGGGGAAAAATAAGCAAAGCTTCCAGGATACCCCCAACAAAAGTTGAAGGCTTAACATTTTTGCTAAAGTAGCAAAAATGGCAAATTTGCTGGTTTCTCTAAGTATATTATTTTGCCTTGTTTTTCTTCTTGAAGAAAGGAGGTGATGAAGCTTCAACAAGCAGTAGTAAGTGAGGATGCAAGAGACTTTTCAGAAGTGCCACATCTACCAATTACTTGAAGTTCAAAGGGAACAGTTTATTTTTCTGGCATTGGGAAATCAGCATATTTGGAACTGGCACCCAGTGACTTAGCCTGGTGTTCAGAGCAACTTGGCATTCCAGATGGGAGGGAAGCTGTCTTACTTCATGGAGTGAAGCTGCCATTGGAACCCAGGACGCTTGATTGAAATTTCAGACATCTGATTTTGTCAGAGTTCGGATACCTTTCCTTTGAAATGCCCTGCCTTAATAAACCTCTTTAACCCGTTGCCAATCTTTCTGGCAAACATGTCTCCCTGTGATTGGGAAAATTAATGAACAGGCACCAGCTAATATAATTAAACCCAAACACTCCTGATTTCAGTATTCAGAAAAAGCCACTGCCCTGATTTTCTCTTGACAACACAAAAGTCTTGCCATCTCCAAACTGTTTAATTATTGAAATGAACTGTAACAGTACACCAGATAGGGGCAAAGGTCGCTGAGCAGTACTGGAAGTCAGAGAGCAGTCAGGGGCTGACAGAAGAGCCTGCCAAGGCCTCGGGCTGCAGCTACAAACCCACACACTTTTTCTCAGGCATCCAGCCTCTGATAGGTAGCCTGATAGCGGGACTAATTTGCTAGTATTCCAGAGGTCCAACGGTGCTTGCTTGTTTTAAGAAAAGCCAAAATATGCTCTGGTGACCACCACGACATCGCAATTCCCATGCCCTACCACATTCCTCATCTCAGATCCCAGGCATTTTTTTCCCCTCCCTACGTGCAGTCCAGGATGTAGACCAAATGAATTCCAAGTGACTTATGTGGGGATGGACTTTTTTTAGAAACAAACAGCAAATTAAATGAAAAAAAAAAAAAAGCCCTGTTCTCACTTTTTTTTTTTTTTTTTGGAGGGGGTGCATATGTTTATTTTCTCAGAGACACTTTCTGGCAGGGACAAGGGAACTTAGTTTTAAGAAAGTGTCATTTTTTCCACAAATTTAAAACTACTAAATATTAGTCTCTTTCATTTTACTTTCTTTTTCTGACTCCCAAACCTAATAAAGCCCATGGTGATTACTTTATTTACCTGGAGATGTCCAATTTTCTATAATTCTGGAATCCCAACATCACCTGGAAAGGTAGGAATTTTTTTTCTGATATGTCATTAGTGATATTTAGACTGTTACCAAAGTGGGAGGGATGTTAAAAATGTTAAAACCAGATAAATCAAAATAAAGATGTAAGTTATTTAATAACTATGAAAAGCTATCAAACTATGTTTATTAATGATTTGATAAAAATCTAATCTCTAAACATTTTGGATGCTCTGAATTATAAACAACTTTTACTAAGAAAATAGTTATTATGAAGAAGTTAAAGGTTTCTGGGATTATCAGGGATGGCTAGAGGC